GGGGCCTGCGAGACCTGCCAGACTTGCGAGGCCTGCGGCGCCTGCAAGATTAGTTGGACCTGCGGGACCTGTGGGATCTTTGGGATATGTGGGACATGCGGGACTTGTGAGACTTGCGACAGCTGTGGGACTTGGGGGACTTGTGGGACCCGTGGGACCTGTGGGAACTGTGGGACCACAGGAACCTGCGAGACCTGCGAGAGCTGTGGGACATGTGGGACCTGTGGGGACTGTTAGACCTGCGCCACCTGCGAGATCAGCGATACCAGCGGGACCTGTGGGAACTGTGGGGTCTGTGAGACCTGTGGGATCTTTGAATCTTGCGGGGCCTGCGACCGCCGAGGACCAAAAGCCCTGAATCGTGGGACCGCCGGGCACCCAAATAATGACCTTATTTGGGAGCCCGGGACCTCTTTATGACATTTAGTGGATCGGCGGATGTTTCGTGGTTTTGGACCATCGAGGACCACATAGGTGGGATTTGCTAAGGAACCCGAAGGCTCCTTAAGTGGACCCAAAATTCAAACGTCCCCGCGTAGGCGTTGGAGGCCTTCACTACCCACCCCGCTTGGAAACGCGACGCGACTGTTTTGCCGAGACCTGAAGGCCTGAAGGCGACTCTGATGCCGCCACCGCGGTACTTGCCCTGCAGCTCGGCAGTCCGCAGGCAAGCCGAAGAAACTACTATGGAGGCGGGCGCGACCCCAAACGGTTCCAGCAACCCCCCCAGGGAGCTCATGACGGCCCACGATGCTCCCGAAATGTCCCACAGAGCCCCGAGACGGCCCAAAAGTGCCCCAACAGGCCCCCAAGACAACCCAACAGGACCCCGTGACAAGCCCAATGCGGCCTGAGAGTAACCCGTGAAGGACCCAAGAGAAGCAAGAACAACGGACACAGCTCACAAGAGGGGGACGGAGGGGGGGACGACGACGAAAACGAAGGAGTACGCCCCGAAACAACGCGGATAAACGTGTCACATATTGCGGCAATTGCACGGGTATGGGCGACGATCTGTCGCGTGGTGCGATTTTCTTGGCGGTGCCCCGCGCTGAAAAATGTGCAATCGCAGTGCGCGGGACTTGCCGCGAACAAATCGGCATCAAACACAAACGCCCGATTTTCTACACGCGAAAAAACGCGTATGGTTTGTCAACGACGTCGCGCCCTCCACGCGCCGACCTGGTTCTCCACTTTGAGATGCGCGCAGTGAGAAAACAAAAAAAGGCACTGCGAAAAAGGGGAGGGGGAGGGCAAAGGGAAGAGGTCGGGCGAGAGGCGAACCACGAATGATTACCGCCCAAAATCAACGTGGCAAGCGCAAGCGCAGAACAAAACAAAAGGAGAGACATTCCAATTTGTTGGCGCGCCGCCAAGAAAGGAAGGGGAACGTAGGGCCCGCGAGCCCACAAGGAACAAACTTGGCGGCATGATAGACGCTGCAGGACGCCTCGCCACGCGGAGGCGCTCTGCCCGCATGAACGAGCACATCGTAGCCCAAAATCGGCGCCATCACGCCGCGCGAGGCATCGCTGCGCGGGGGGAATCTGCCCATGCAAGACACGTGCAGCTAACAAGCGAAAAGAGCGTTACGCGCCGCCTGAGCCATAATGCTGCAATGCCGCAGCGACCACGTTTCTACTACTGCGACCTCCCCTGATCAGCGCGCGCGTGTGTCGTGGCAGAAGGGCGCTGCCGCGCATGATCGCCATTTGCCCTCGCGAAGGCACATTGGAGGGAATCTCCGCGGGGAAGGCGCTGCAAGTGGCCAGGCTGCAACCTCGCGAGCAAGCGCTGCGTCAAACCAGAAAAAGTAACGTTTAAAACGTCCAGAACTTCCGGTTACGGTGGTTTCTTGCGCGGTCCGTTGAGAGGCTCCGCACTGCGAAACTGTCGCCACGTTCGAGGTCCCCTGTGGGGCCCAGCGGAATGACGTCCCACGCAGATTCAAATCCGGCATCGACATCTGGTAGTCACTTTCGAGGACAGCTGGGGGGTCCAGCGGGGTGACGCCCTACGCAAAGTCATACCAAGCGTCGCCATCCCTGGGGGGGGCTGCGAAGTGCGAAGATGTTGTCACGTTCGAAGGCCGCTGGGGGTGGGTCCAGCGGACTAACGTCCTACGATATTCAGCGTTTACTTCCCGCACCGCGCGGGTGGAAGAAGGAAACGGGGAACCTGGTGGGCGAGGTCGTTTCCGATCGCGTCCTGCACGAGCGGTGGGCACCTGATCATTTGAAACGCCAGAGCGGCATGGTGCGGGCCGCGTTGCTTGTCCAGCATGCCACCGGCAAATGATCGCGACCCCTCTTCCTTATCCTGCATTTTTCGTTGTCGTTTTCTGTTTCCTTCCACCGTCCCATTGCGGCTGTCGCGTTAACTGTTTGGCCCCGCGTTCGTCTTTGTTCTGTCCCTCGCTCCCACCCCCCAGTTCCTCTTCGAGTCTGGGGAGTCAGCCCTCGTCCTTCTGTTGCTGTCCTGTGGGTCGTACAGCGCGCGCGCTTGCCAGATAGCTTGCGCAATCAATGGCACGCCTTGCGTTCTCATCAGTCATACGATTCCCATACCATTCTGGACCAGCTCTTCTTGTCACTTAGTGCAGATGGGTTGGGTACGTCGCAAGGCCTTCTGACTTTTAAAAACGGCGGCCCATCCCCCAACCCGCAAACTGCCGCGTGCATCCCCCCTACTCACCGAGGCCACTTCCCTCATGAAGGATGGTGCACTTCTCGCATGGCAGATAATGCCGGAACCACAATTCCAAGCGTGCCCGCTCGAGGATGGTGCACATCCCGCACGGCAGCTGATGCCTGAAACCCCCTTCTACGCTTGCCCGCTCGAGGATGGTGCATTTCCCGCGTGGCAGCGAATGCCTGAACCCTGTTTCCATGCGCGCCAGCTCGAGGATTGTGCACATCCCGCATGGCTGCTAACTCCTAGAGCCCTCATCCCGCGCGCTCTGGCTCGAGGACCATGCACTTCCCACATTCCCAGGCGCTGATCCCAAGCGCTCCAGGGCTTTTTTCTTATTAAAAATAATGATATTAAAAATGCTAGTTTTTTGTACAAAAAACATTGCTTGCGCAGCTGGGCCAACCACGCAGCAGAGACGACGGCCCTGTCGGGGTGACTCTCACCACAGACGGGGAAACGCTTCTCACTTACGTGAGGCAGACGCGCGCAGCGCGGAAAGAAGCACCACTCATATTAGAGAGGCGCGTTGGAAACTGGGTGGCGGCCAGCAAGGGTGCGCCGCACCCTCATGTCCGCTCCCCGCCTGCTGCTTTTACTTTTGGGCACGCCCATGCACGTGGCCCTCAAGTTTTTCGCATTCCCCCCCGCCACTTGGTACGCCCCACAGATTCGACAACAGAAAGCGTCCCCGCGCCGCGCGCAGTCGTGGCCAAGAGACCTGAACAGCACGTCGATATCCGTGGCAGTGGCAGGGGGTGGAGGCGGAGGTGGCACAGCCACAATCGGACCGTCGTCAGGCATGACCACGGCCCGCAGGGCGAGCAGATACGAGCGCTCCATGGGCAACACGTCGCCAGCAGACAGCTGGCTGAACACTCTCTCCGCACTCCATCTTTGATACTGAGACGGCTCGCGCCCCTTGGCGCGAGTGGCAGACATATTCTCGTACGTCCGAACCGTCCCCGCATACATGTTACACGAGCGACAACGGACCTCGTTCCTCGACTTCACCCACACCAGAGTGTGATCTGTGACGCTCACTGGTGGGACCGCTGGTGGGCGCTTGGTGGGCCGAGGTGGGTACTGGTCAGGTTCGGACGCCTTTGCTAATTCAACCCTGTGGGCCACTGCCCGCGACGCATATCGAGCGAACAACTTCGCCTCCTTGAGCGCCATCTTATGTACATCAGCAAGCACCTGAGACACAGAAATATGGTGGGACCAGCTTCAGAGAAAAAGTCGGCCCAGGCGTTGCCCAAGACCCACACAAACGGAGCACGGTCGCTCAGGGGCGCCTCTTCGAGCGACGACTGCGCGGGCACCCACGCAAAGGAGGGCGGGCACGCGTGCTCTTTCTCGAGGAGATTAACGAAACGACGCCAAACAAACGCATGCTTGGCGGTGCCTCTGGCAAGATCGGGAGACCCATTCAATCCTTCAGACGCCAAGGACGACAAGTCCGAAACCACGAGGTCACGGGGGATGTGCAGCTGCTTGGCCCCGAATGCGGCCCAGCGCTCAGCCCTCCCCACTGTTTGGCGCATGAAACCTGGCAGGCCCCCGTCGGCAGCTCTGATCGGTATACCCTCTTCCGACAGCCACGCCGCGGACCACCCGCAGCGTCGCAGCGATGGGTTATTCGACATAAGCCCTGAGCCATCGGTGAATGCTACCGTGCCCCAACTTCTGGAGTCAGACCCCCAGTCGCCCCAGAGCAAGGTGGGAGGGTCGAGGGAGGGGGGTTGAGGCGTTGGGGGCTCAAAGGGCAAACCCAAGCACATGCGGCCCTGCCTAGGCTGATCGTTCCGTGCTCCTGTATACGGTCGCGGTTCTCAGCCAACTCCTCAGGCATATTCCCACGATCTTCATCCTCTAGGCTCGCCTTCAGCGAACCGCAATTAAATATTAAGTGTGGGTGGGTCTCAGGCCCGGTGCTGCACAACGTACACACTCCCGAACACTCCAACGAACACTGGGCCTTCCGAGCCTGAGTCCAGATGCCCCCTGCCCACAGTGCCCTGAGTGCTCCAGCATGGGTGGCATGCTTCACAGCCGCGGACGGCCCCCCAACGCAGCACCTTACGGCACGCGTCCACACCAGGCCGTGCCGAGGCAAATCCACGTGGCGATCGGGGGGTCTGCGCGCTTCCCACCTCTGTATGCTGGATCGGAGCCGCTCTCTGACATCAGCGGAGGGGACTTGCAACAGCGAGGAACTGTTACCACAATCGTCTACAAGCTGCGGCGACGACGCCATGTTCCAATCAATTCGCCTAAGCGAGGCCCAGACAACAGCCAGAGGGCCATCAGCCTGGGCCCAGCTCGAACTGCACTTCGAATACCTCTCAGCCAGGACCCCCCAGGCCCTCTCAAGCCTACCGAGCGCAACTGTGGCACCCCAGATGGCCTGCGAGTAAGCTACAACAGGGCTCAGGGTGGCATCATATATGGGGTCATACCAGGGGTCCTTCTGGGTCATGGGGTAGGCCGTGAGGCCAGTTGAGCCTTCCTTAGCCCCACACAGGGCCCCCGCAGCCCGCCTCAGGGTCTGGAGGTCCTTGTCAGGGGTCCCGCTGACGGTGGCACAGTGGTTCGCAGAGCTCAAAAGCCCCGATCTCCAGATGACCGATACTTTGTTGCCCACCGTCCATCTGGAAGCTTTCACCCTGACCATCCTCTTTTTCAACTTGGCCATGCGAGCCTTGGTCTGGTGTCGGCGTCGGTCGGTGCCGTGCAGCTCGTGCCCGAGGTTCCTGGTGCGGGACTTGAGCGGAATGCCAATCGGCGACGCCTGTTTGCTGACCATCCTTTTGGCCTTCGGGCAGGCCGCCACCAGACCAGATTTCTCCACCTGGAGAATGAGCCCAAGGGGCCTGGCCAGCACGATGAACTTCTTCACGGCCCCGAACAAGAAATGCAACGTCTTGGTGTTGGCGCCCACCCACTGCAATGTCAGATCGTCCACTAGTGCCCGTGGGATAACACTAAACCACTCAGACGTCTCATACTTCTGCTGGTGAGGAGCGTCAGCAGCATCGTGGAATGAGAGCACCCCGCCAATATCCCCTGTGTCGTCGCAAACTGCGTGGACCAGGAATCGTATGCTTTGATTGCCCTAGGTTGCTTGTGATATTGTAGCAGCATCCACAACAACCGCATGGGACATCCGCTCCTCCGACCTTCCTCGAGCAAAGCGTGAGGGTTCACACACTCGAAACATTTGTACGCGTCTAAAATAGCAGTAGCACTCGTCTCTCCCAGTAGCTTGGCCACCTCAGCCTCCAGGATGCGAGCAAAAGCAACATGGCTTGAAGATCTGCCAGGGCCGCCGCAGCCCCAGATGTCAGGGATGTTCGCCTGCTTCAGCCACGCTTTGGAGAGGGGGGATCGCGCCTTGGGCCACAGCCGTACGAGCGTCTGCACCAGCGCAATAAGTCGGTGTCCATTGCCGTCCCCTTTCGGTAACCTTACCAGCTCGTTGATGGTCCGCTCGTCTGGCCATGTGAGATTCTCCTCGCATTTGTTGAATAGGTCTGCGATGGCCGTGGGCCCTGCATCTGAGACCTGCGCAAGCGCCCGCGGCGCAATGCGACCCGGCCCCGACGCGGCGCGCGTGGAGAGGGAGGGGCAGGCGCGCCGCAAAAGAGGTCCTGATAGCGGCGGCAATGCGGCCCAACTCACAGCATCCGTCGGCAAGGTTAGCGGGTCCAGCTCGCGACAGCTCCACACCTCCTTCCAGGCCGTCAGCTCGCGCTCCACCAAGACGTGCGGCTCTCCAACGACGGCTGCGCCTATAACTTCCTGCAACGCTCTGCACTTCGTCGCACGATGCGCTTGGCCAGTGCCACTGCCGATGAACGCTTGGTGCGCCCAACCCTTCCACTTTCCATTCCGAACGCTCTGGTCCTGTTGCAAGTGGATCTTGTCGGCATCCTGAATCGCCAGCGCCTGCGGCTCGAAATCCTCCAAGTTGAACACCTTGGGGCCGTGCGAGAAGCATGTCACGACCCAGTCAGGCAACCGCTTCAGCGTGTATGGCTTCCTCATGACTCGTTGAAAGAACGCCTGAAGCTCGATGAAAAACGCTACTATGTCCTCAAACTGGGTGGGGCTCAGCGCGCACAGTGCATTAGCCGCCTGCAACCTCTGGATCTTGGTCTGCATCTGCTTGCGAGAGGCGGTGAGGTGCTGCGCCCACCTGGCCGCGGCCCCCCACGCACGCGCCGCGTCGCCCTGTTGCAGTCTGACCGCAGGCGGCTTCCACTGTCGGGCCACCCACTTCGTGCGAACAACACCTCCTCTTCCACTCCGTCGTAGACGCTCCCTACCCGTGACATCCCACCGATCGAGCAGCTCATTCTCGGTCTCCATTAGGACCGCGTCCCACGCTACCTGTAAGTCTGCCTGGCTGCTCGCGATCTGGATGAGCTCATGGACTCGCTCCCAGCCCCGAGGCGGTCTGGCACGGCCCGTCGGCGGCACCGCTCCGATTGGCGACGGTTCGTCGGGCGCACGGCACCACATGGGCACCTCGACCGTCCTCAGCGGGTAGACGACAGGCCTGTGGGGCGACGTGAGCGCCTCCTCATCCACCTCGGGCATGCCAACCTTCGTGGCCAGGTTGGCCGCCACCAGCGCGTAGTCAATGATAGAACCATCTCCCTGGCGGCAAGTCGCGGCAGTGGTCGCAATTGCTACCCCAAGAAGGGCATGGATCCAACTCAAGCCTAACTCCTCCACCGTCATGTTGGAATCCCCCAGCGCGACCCAGTCCATGCACAAGCTGGTTAGCATGTGTATATACTGCAGCATCGTGCTCAGCGCCTCGTCGCTGGCTGGGCCATGTCCTTCACTGGGGCGAAGTCATACTGAGAGAAAGACGATGCCTCGCTTAACTCCCCAGTGAACATGTGCAGCGACGACCCTGCCTGCCTCCAGCACTGGGGTCGACGTCGCAGGTGGGCAGGTGAGGGAGATGTGGCTCTTGGCCGACACCGCCACTCCAGCGGACGTGCCGTTGCCTTTGCCCGTTGCAATCGCTGGAGCCCACATGCCGTGATACCCCAAATCGTGCAACCTCGACTGCACTCGATCGAAGTTGTCCGTCGTAGCGTGGCGTTCCTGAACTCCCAGCACCGCGTGCCCAGGCTTGCCTCCCAAGTAATCACACAGCGGCCCGTGCGAGGTGGCGTTGACGGTGGGGAAGTAGCCCCTTACCTCATCGCGCTTCTCAGCTGACGCGGCCCCCCTCGCAGAGCGCGTCGCCGCCAAGCTTGGTCGAGCAGTCTCGGCCCGAGGCCTCTGCGCAGGCGAGGGTCCGCACGCATCGGCAGCCGCCACCTGCCCGTGCACCCGATTATCTGCGACGATCCCGTCCGTTGCCGCGAGGCCAGCCGTTGCGACAGGCCCATCTCCGCCGCTGCGAGCCCCTTGATCTGGGACATGTGGACCCGCTTCGTCATCAGCCCCCCAGTCCTGGAAGCCGCTGCCGTGGTAGTCATCAAACGCGAACGGGTCTACGTCGTTGTCGCCCATCAAGCTGCGAGGGACGAACGGCTCGGCCCCTGCGCGCAAGGCCGGCGAAAGAGAAGAGGAGCAAGGCACCATCATCATCATTATGAGAGCAAGGATACACATCAACCATCTGCGATTGCTGCCCACGCTAGTACGAAGAGAACTGCAACGTCGCTGTCCGCACTCTCTGGGCCAGTCTCCTGACCTCGTCCTCATTCTCAGGTAGCTCATGCCCCGCTGCCGTGAGGTAGCTCTTGACCTCCTCGATGGGCTTCGTCGACTCAGGGGCGCCCCCTTCACTGAGGCGCCCTGGGTCAGCTCCATTTCCCTCGGCCAGGCGTGCACGCTTGGCACTGACCATCTCGGTGAGCTTCGTATGCAGCAGCTGCGGCAGCGTCTCAGCCAGGGCGCCACCACCCGCTGAACGTACCATGTCCTGCAGGTCCGTGAGCTCGACTTTGGCCTCGCCCAGCTGGCTAGGCTCTCCTGGCCGCTTCGGCGGCTGCGAAGTGGCCATGCCCACCTCGCGAATCTTCCGCTCCACCTCGATCTCCTGCTGCCGCAGCTGCTCAATCTGCGCGCACTCCCTGTTGATCGAGGCCTGGATCTCAGCAAGCTGAGCCCGCTTGGCCTCGACCAACTTCTCTACCTTTTGAATGTTCGTCTTTGTCCTGGCCAGCTTGTCGTTGAGCCCAGACAGCTGCACCGTGATGGGCTGCTTGGCACGTAAGCTGGCCAGGATCGCATCCTTCTCCTGCTGTAGCCCATCTCGATAGGGCCCGCAATCTGTGACTTGTCATCCTTGATGGAGTCCAGCAGACCGTCGATATCTGCGAGCCGCTCCTTCTGCGGGTCGGTCGCTTCCTCATGCTTCTCGTCGACGTCCATCGTGCTGGCCTTCCGCTTCTTCTCCTGCTGCAGCTGCTCCTGGACGGACTGCAACTGCTTGCGCAACTGCTGGAGCTCCGTGTCCTGGGCGCCGCCACCCCCCTGTCCGCCACGACGCGGCCGAAGGGACACCGACGGCACCTGCGAGACCACATTCTTCTTGAAGGCCGCTGCCTTGCAGGCCTTGCACTTAGCACACTCGAGGCGCTCGGCTCCGTTGACCCACGGCTTGCCGGTCGGGAGATGCACACACCACCGACACTCCCACCTCTGCCGACGATCGTCTCTGCTGCCACCATTGTGAAATCCCATCTACATAATGCACAGAGCGGCAAGGTCGAAAGGGAGGACCAGCCAGGATGCTGCGTGGCCGGGCGGCACGCGCAGCGGAGCGCTGAAGAAATTGAGCACTGGCCGCGGACTAGCGGTATCCACTTGTTTCTGCTGGGAAACCAAAACCTTGAGCCAAAATGGCCACGGAAGCGTTCCAGGGCCTCGCAAGCCACGATTCCTCGTTAAACAAACGATGGATATGCGTTCCGAGCTTGCAAGACGACCCACGCAGGCAACCAAACACGACACGATGGCCCAAGATGCCTCGAAGACGGCCCAAGATGGCCCCAAGGTTGCCGAATATTGATTCAAGACGGCCCGAGATGTCTCGAAGAAGGCCCAGCATGGCCACAAGAGGACCTCCAACAGGGTCAGAAGACACCACCATCATTGAATTTCCTTGGGCTGTGGAATGATGTTCGCATTCTCGCCTTTCGGGCTGCCGTCAGCTCAAAAAGGCCCAAGGGGACTCCACGATGGCCCAAGAGGCATCCAAGACGGCACCCAGACGGCCTCCCGTGGGATCCAAGACGGCTTTAGAAGGCCTTTTGACGGCCCAAGACAGCGCCAAGAAGGCCTCACGACGGCCTCCAGGCACCCACGATACGGCCAAGAGGGGCCCCAAGACGGCACAAGGAAGCCCCAAGCCGGCGTAAGAGGGCCCGAAGACTGCCCACGCGGGCCCCAAGGGATCCCCACAACTGCCTCACAGGAGACCCAGACAGCCCAACGACGGCCCAAACGAGTGTCATCGTCATCGTCATCATTGTCGTCGCCGTCGTCGTCGTCGACATCATCATCATCATCATCATCATCATCATCATCATCATCATCATCATCATCATCATCATCATCATCACCATCATCACCATCATCACCATCAACATCAACATCATCATCATCATAATCATCCGCATGATCATCATCATCATCATCATCATCATCATCATCATCATCATCACCAGCAACATCATCACCAACATCAGCAGCATCATCATCAACAGCATCAGCATCATCAACAGCAACAGCAACAACATCAACATCAGCCTCATCATCATCATCATCAACAGCAGCACAATCTCCATCAGCAACATCATAAGCATTATCAGTATAATCAGCGTCATCGTCATCGTTATCGTCATCATCACCGTCGTCATCATCATAACCATCATACTCATCATTTTCATCATCACCATCAGCACCAGCATCAGCATCATCATAATGGTCAACGTCATCGTCATCGTCATCGTCGCAATCGTCGTCGGCATAAGAATGACCATCCTGACCATCAGCAGCATCATCCGCATACTTGTCATCATCGTCATCACCATCATCCTTATGATCATCATCATCATCATTCTCATACTCATCAACATAATAACCATCACCATCACCATCACCATCATCATCACCATCATCGTCGTCGTCAACATCATCATCATCATCATCATCATCATCACCATCATCACCATCATCACAATCATCATCGTCATCATCTTCACCATTACCATCATTACCATTATCATCAACATCCCTGGCAACATCAGCATCACCATATCCTCATCCTCATCGTCATCCTCCTCTTCCTCATCACCATCATCACCATCGTCGTGGTTCCAATCATCATCATCATCTTCATCACCATACTCATCACGGCTTTCCCAAGCCTGGAGACACGAGGTGTCACACGTGACGGCCTCCAGTGCACCGCTGAACAGTCGTCACCCAGAGTGCTGGGCTGGCACGGTGGCGTAACTGGCCGCAGGCCGCTGGGTAAAGAATATTGACCGCATTGCGGGACATTATCCATAATGGTGGCTGTGAGAACTGAATGGGCACCGACGAGGGGCGAAAGTCTGGGAGGGCCAACGGGCGCCAGGCCCAGTCCGAGAGAGGTCGATTTGGAGTTTGAAGGCGAACATGGCGCCAAGCGGGAGAGATAGAGAGAGAGAGAGAGAGGAAGCAGTAAATATAGATGCGGCGCAAGGCAGATTTAGGCGGGGGAGTAGGCGCAAGAATGATGATTGTCCTCTGTATAGACACGGGGAGAGAGATAGACATATAGAGAGAGAGGGAGAGAGCGAGAGAGAGAGAGAGAGATGACCTACGGGAACCAGAGGAGTGTCTGTAGGGTCCGAAGAGACTTGAGTACCGAGAAGACCTCCAGACTCGGAAGCGGCAGAGTCCAAGTAACGAAGTGGTAATTGGGACGGTGATTCCCCACTCGCAGTGGCGCAGGAAGTTGTGCTGCAGCCTGCGCTGATGGAGCGGAACGATTGGTCACGCCAAGCTGGTCCTTGGCGGGCCAGTGCTGGCCTCCTCTGCCCCTGCAGGGCCGTTGCTGCTGCTTCTGGTCCGTTCAACCGCTGTCGACGGTGATGCCATCCAGCTTGTTCGCCGTCGCGCTGCACGCTTCTGCCAACGCGTTCGCCTTCGCGCCCACGTCATCGCCCGCTGTATCCTTGAGAGCTTCGGGCCCGTCGTAGCTGCCCTTGTTTGGCTGGTCGAGGTAATCGTGGTCTTCGCCGCCCTCCAGCTTCTGGCCATCGTACTGCCCACGGGCGTCGTGGAACTCCTTGCCGTCGTCGGTCTCGTGGGCTGGCGCCCACTGGCGAGGCTGCCGCGGGTCCTGGAATGGCTGCCTCTGCTGCTGCCCGGGTCCCGCCACCTGCCTTGCCGCCGCGAGGGTCTCTCGGCGAGGCGCTGCCAGAGCGCAGCGCCACCGGGACCGCTCGCGGCCGCTGATTCTTCAGGGCCTTTACGGTCGAGTCGAGATCGTGCTCCTTTGGTTCCTCCATGATGCGTGTTTGGTGGTCTGGCGTCGAGGCGGCGGCCTTTCATAGCTTGACCGCGCGAGCATGTCTGTGTTGGATGCAAAGATCCCACCCGCTCCGCTGCGAGGCCCCCCGCTCGGCGAAAACCTTACCGTGCTTCAAGGACGTCGCCCGTGCGGTCCGCCTGAATTTCGATGAATCACTCCGTCTCCTCAACGATGGGGTCAGCGTCTGTTGGCTCGCACCACCCTTCCAAAAGAATCCACTCTATGGTGACGTTGTCGTCGCCCTTGATGGCGTCCACCAAGCAAAAGGCCGCCTTACCGAGAGGCTTGTGGTGTCTAGCTCTCGTAGTCTAGGTGTCGGCTGCTCGCTCCCACCTCGCATGCCTTTTCGGCTACTGGCGCACACTGCCGCAGTGGGCCTGCAGCTCTGGTGCTGGAGGCGGCAGGCCACCGCGCCACTCCTTGTTGCTCCTCGGGCTTCGCCGCGACGTCCGCTGGTCGGCATTCGAGTGTTGCTGCCAGACCCCTAAAGTCCTCAACATCCTCGTGCTCGTCAGGTCAGCATGGTCAGACCTATCCAACTCCCCAGTGGGCCAGGGCTCCTTCGCGCCACCAGCCCACCCCATCGGGGTGGGAATGGGTGCCACGAAATCCAGCGCAGACGGCATCTGCCCCCACCACCCAGGAAGGCAGGTCGGACAGCGGAGCTCAAGCTTCCCCTATAAGGATAGGGATAGATCCAGCGGTACTCAACAAACTCCCCGGCCTCGCCTGCATCCGCCTCCTGCTCGCCATGCTCGCGAGCTCCGTGCTCGCGAGCTCCGTGCTGGCGTGCGGGTCGTCACCTTGTGGTTGTTCGCCCTCGCGTCGGGACTGCGCACGGCCGCGAACCGCGGGGCCTCTCCATGCCGCAGAACCGCTACCCGCTTCGCCACCAACGTTTTGGCCATGCTTTGATCGATGCACATATTCTTGATCATCTGCTCTCCCCTCGCCTCTTTCCTTCTTCTTCTTCCTCATTCCTCATTCCCATCTTTTTTTCTGAGTCCTCCGTCCACCACCTCCTTGTTCAAGCTCCTGCTCCTCCTCCTCCTCCTCCACCATATTTCTCCTCCTCCTCTTCCTCCTCTTCCTCCTCCTCCTGATTCTTCCTCTTTCTCCCTCGCTCCCCCTCGCCATGTCACCAGCACCGCCGTCGTCACCATCATCGCCTTTACAGCCGTCGCCGCTGCCGCCCTCCAAAAGCCTCGGCCACTTCGGTTGACACCAAGTCGCTGGGGAGCCCCTCCGCCATGGCCGAGGGCGCGGCGGCGCCGCCCGGAGCGCGTCCGCTGCGACCCGCCGAAGCAAAAAGAGAAGAAGGTGACGGAGGGAGGATGGTGAGGGGGGAAGCCGGGGGAAGGGGGGAAGCGAAAGGAAAGGCGGACTCGACTCTATCGACTCTAACCACTCTATGGAGCCATGCCATCATACCAATGACTGGGAGATTGGTGCAGAGAGGGTGCCTGCAGTGGTGACTACCTGCTGGAGTGGCCCCACAGCCCTAAAAGCCCGTCGGGGCACTGGCAAGGAAAAAAAAGGAGGGAGGGGGGGCGAAACGAGGAGGGAGGAGGAGGAGGAGGAGGAGGAGGAGGAGGAGGAGGAGGAGGAGGAGGAGGAGGAGGAGGAGGAGGAGGAGGAGGAGGAGGAGGAGGAGGAGGAGGAGGGGGAGGGGGAGGAAGAGGAGGAAGGGGGGACGGAGGGCGCAGAGGAGGTGCAGGAGGAGGTGGAGAAATCCGCCGATCCGGCGTGTGAGTTTACACACGCTACAATGTCCTGAGCTTTAGCTCTGATGGGGGGGGGGGGGCGGGGTGGCTTTGCCAGGGAGGGGGGGATGTCTACTCTTTTCGGGGGGGGGGGTTCTTTCGGGCCCAGGAGAACGAGCCCCAACACAGGGGGAGAGGACTTCAATAGGCTCCCAAAAAGGTCCCAGAGGGCCTCGAGTCGTCAAACGATCGGTCCAAGACGCCAAAGCTGGCCTCCATACCGCCCAAGGAGCTTCCAAGACGCCCGAGAAAGCTTCCAAGAGGGCTCCCAAGAGGGAACAATTGCAACATTCCCTTCGGAAAATGTACATGTTCAGTATATTCGCCTCTTGGGCTTTCACAGCGTCGAAGACGGCCCAAGAGGCCCCCATGATCGCTCTAA